TGAAATTTATGTCATATTCATAACATATAAGTAATTGCTCTCCAAGTAAGTGAAGTGCTGGGTGAGTAGTGAAGACATGTAGTTGTTAATGTGTTAATATGCAATACCAGTCAATATGGTTTGGTCAAATGTTACATCAAGACGTGTGTTAAAGGAGACACTTCTCAAGGTTAAGTAATAGCTTTTAAAATAACTAGTCATGCACAGATTAGCAAGGCTGTTGTTGATATAGCTCTAATTAATTGACTGAAGATATTACATTTTAGATGTTAGCTCTTCTAGGCAGAGTATAATTAAATTTGGCATACTTGTTAGATGAAGCAGTCCAAATTATCAAAAACACAATGTGTGAAAGACATAAAGTCAAAAAAGACTCAATTAAATTATTTAGATTCAGTACAAATAAAGCCAAAACAATACTAAATGCTAAACTAATTTAAAAAAAAAATCGGGCAAACAAAAAAGAAAAAACAAACAAAACATAAGCTCAGAGGTATTATTGAAAAGGTGACCTGAGCAGGACAGGTATCAACTCACATAAATAAATAAAAAATGCAAGGTGGCATATGAAAACAGTGATATTCAGCAAAAGACAAAGTTTAAATAACACCTTTATTTTTTTTTTTTATTTATTTTTTAGTTTTCGCTAATGTTTTTCACCAATTCAACTAATTGTTACTGTTATAGAAGTGACTTACCCTGTGCTAACCTGCAATCAAGAATCCTACATAGCTGCAGCTAAATATACCATATTTATTCTTAAAAGTTTAACATGTCTTTTTCTGGTGTCACCACAGAAAATTCTTAAAACATGTGAAGAATGGAAAACTTACAAAAAAAACCAACAACTTGGCACTGACTAGAAATAATTAAATCACGGATAAAAAACTATGAAAATGGTAAAGAGTTTCTAACATAACAAATCTGTGTAAAATATTGTTTTCTATGTGAAATTCATGAAGTGCAAGAAGCAGCAAGTATAAGATTAAGTCCACCATTTTGCACAAAATGAAAGATTGTATCAATCTTTCTATCTATTATCTAAATTATCTAAATTATCTATTTATAATACAAAAATAAACAAACAAACAAACAAATAAATAATAATATTTCAGTTTCAAAACAAAACGATTGCTACGTATAAGTATCAAGACAAAAAAAAAGAAAAGAAAACATATACATTAAATAATGCAGTGTATATATGTGTGTGTGTTGAGGGAGGTCTGCTAATTGCCTGAGGGTTATATGAGTATTATAGCTTAAGTGTCTGCTACATTGGGTGGAGCCTAAAGTGTCCAATGAATATGAGTTGCTATCATAACAACACTGATGCACGAAAGAAAACACATGATGTGAGGTCTCTGCTTGAGACAAGAATCACATTTCAGAAGCTGAATAATAATTAATTTGATTCTCTCATGTGAATTGTTCTATTTTTCTGTTCTTGTTGTTTATTTGATATAAAAACAAGCAAAGACAACACTAAATTTCAGAAAAGGAAATACCTTTGAAATGACCATCCATTTTCAAGATTTTATTTTTTTTTCATTCTTTCATTTTTGGTTCTACACAATACTTTTAAGGACAGAAAGAACTGTTTTCCTCAGGAGTCACTGTTTCAAAAGCCCGCAGTTAAACAGGATAATAGATGATTTCTAATAATATCTAGTCAACATCTACCTTGTTACTATGTTTTGGTATGTTTTTACTCCCTAATTGTAAGACTTTTCTTATATAAAGTTGTTGTTGTTATTATTATTGATAATGATTTATTGATATTGATTTATTTATTTATATTGATTATATTTATAATGATTTAACTTTAAAAGTTAAGTTGCTTTGTCCCTATTCTTCAGCTAACAGTAATTATCCTCATTATCTCTCATTCTATATATATTAATACTTTGGAAGGCTGTTAGTTCACTCTTATTTTTTTCCATCAGCACACAAATTACTTCATGATATCCCAGAGGTTGGATATTTAGAACCTTTTCCTCTTCCTACTATTATTCTTGAAATGTTAGGCAGTAAAAGGTATTATTTTGTAATAACAAAACCAAGTCAGAATACTAGAACACCTAAAGCTAATATCCAGTTTCAAATGGTGTTAGGATTTCATCTGGGGACAATACTAGAACAAACCAAAGTACTCCACCACTTTGTACCAAGAGGTAAATCTGTCCCTAGTCTACAGGAAAATCATGGGTTTCACGACATATAAAAGGAAAATACTACTTTAAAAGCTGTAGCCTACTTATTACAACCACAATTGATATTGTCATCACTCTGTTCTCAATATCAGTCTTTATTAAACCAGTGTAATCCAACACAAGTAAGAGAGATGTATTACTTACTGAAGAATAGGACATGGTCCCAATTTCTCTTATTCCCTTGAGAAATTATTAGCAAGAGCTAATAATTTTTTTCATCTATGAAAATACATTTGTCTTCTTCTTAATGAGGGATTATTTTATTAAGAATTTGTTTATTTTTTTTTTTTGTATTATTATATTATCTAAAAGCTCTGTACTTTTACTAATCCTCCGTTCTGCTACATATTATAGCTATAACATGGACTACAAGGTCATTTCACTTACAATAACCTTACAATTAGGGGAATAAAAAAACCAACTGTCAGGGGAAGATAGACAACACTGTGATAGGCAGCAGACTCAGCACAGAACTGCCTTAAAACTGTGAACTCTTTTTTCCTTTAAGTAGGTAATACTGTGTGTTGTTGTTATTGCTGTTGTTTTAAAGAAAGATGAGAAATAAGACATTAGTTCCTGGTTATTTTGTAAGAGTTACTTTGTAGAGTGAGTTGAAGTTTGGAGAACAGAAAGAAGGCAATTGTTTGCAGCTATTTGTTTTTTATTGTTTATTTGGTATTTATGGTTTATAAATAATGGCAACTTATGCTGGCCGACAGCTGGAGGCCTTTGCCAGATGAGAAGGAAGATGCTGGAAATAAATGTGCTCTGAAATGTCTTGAAAGTAATGGCAAATTGAATATGTTTGATGTAGCAGAGAAGGGAAAAACAGAGACATACAACTCTGAATTTCCTTACATAGCTTTATGTTTTGTTTTGTTTTGTTTGTTTTTTTTTTTGTTTGTTTTGCTTTTTTTTTGTTTGTTTTGTTTTGTTTTTTTACAATTTGTTCAGCACCTGTATTTTCAATTAAAAGTCACATTATACACATAACAAATAGTGCGCAACATTTCAAGATTTGAAAATATTTTTTCTGAGTAGAGGAGAAAGATTGCCTCTCTTGACCTGCTGAGATACTTTGCCTGATGTAGCCAAGAACATCATTAGCCTTCTTAGCGGCCAGGGCACATTGATGACTCGTTTTCAACTTGGTGTCCACCAGGACCTCTGGGTTCATTTGTGCAAAGCTGCTTTCCAGATGGGTGGCCCCCAGCTTTTTCTTATATCGGGGTTTGTTCCTCCCCAGGTGCAGGAATGTACTGAAATGAAATGACCGTTTTCAAGATTTTATACTGAGCAAATTAGTTCTTAGCGCTAAATGCACCCGTTGTAAAAAGACACTCAAGGCATAACACTTGCTCAAGCTTTATTTGAGAAACAAGCTGAGCTTTTGTTGACATCGTCTTCCATGTGGCAAACACTATTCTTACAGACTTAGGATAATTAGTAATTTTCCATAGTAAACTGAAACGAGAGTACACAAGTCACATCCTTTTCATTCAAATCTCATCTTGCACTGTTATAGTTTTTGAATTTGAAAAACAAAATGTATGCAGAACTGGAACCAACATTCTAACTTCTACAATTATATGTCTTTCTGTTAAAACTCCTTTATCTTTTTCTCAGTAAACATATAGACACAGATTACATTTTAACAGAATCTAGTTTAACATCATATCAAATCTGGAAGGAAATGAATAAATGTCTACATGATATCTCTGTTATTTTAAGCAATTACAATATTTTCCTTTGCAAAAGTCAGGTGTTGATAGCTCTATTATTAAACCGTGGCTTTAAAAGACATATACATTTGTATTTCATCCTGAATAGATAAATGGTTTATGGATTTTTCAGGCCTAAATTAAAAGCAGCCATATATATATACATATATATATTTATGTATATTTCCAAGTGTGTTGTACAAACTGACCGCCATGAGATAAATTCATAAACCACACTTTGTTCTTGCATAGAAAATGCTATTCTTCCTGGCTAAAGACTTGAAGAAAATTTCTAGATCCATTGCCAAATAAGGTTTTAAGAAATGAACATGGGGCAAAGGTTTTCAGAATTCTCCTCTTTGCCTCTTAGAAGACAGTGATTATCAACTGAGAATTGCACTTTATTTAAAATTCAGTTTTATTTATTGTGCCAAAAATCACAGGAAAGAACATAATACCATATAGCTTGTGCAAAGACATGCTTTTCTACATGGTACCCTTGTTCCTTTGGCTTTTTTGTTGGTGTTTTGCTGACTTGGGAAAGAGGGAAAGAAGAGGTTAAAAACAAACAAACAAACAAACAAAAACCTGCACCGCTCTGTTTCAGTTATCAGTCATCATGGCCACTGAGGGTAGTCATGCACCCTTCAGGCAGTTCTGTAACTGCTGCTCAAAATGAGTCCTCTCTAAGTAGAAACATACAATTATCCCAATCAAATTATTCCTAGGTTACACAACACAATTACCCAGCTTAATTTGAAGATGAATTAATTGGAGGATGATTTTCCTTTTTTTGCATAAAAAGTCCCTGTGTAGGATATTCATAAAGGAAAGTTAAACACTTGACTTGCATGCCAGAGTCTCTAAAAGTATCTCAATTTTAATCAGAAACAGACTTTGTTCCAACTCTTTCCTTTTAGGAAGAGGAAGAGGTTTTAATATTGCAAATCAGCTCCTACATTAGCACAGAATATATAAGTAAAAGTAAGAAGACAAGACAAAAGTGATGCCTTTGTGAAACTTTGTCTAAGGTCTACTTTTTTTTTTTTCTCCTTCTCGTCTTCAACAGATGAAAATTGATTGAAGAGAGGCTTCAGCATGAATTGTTCCACTTTGCTATGTCTTATGCTGACAGTGGTTCAGCTTTGGCTTTGCTCTCCAACCACACAGAAATACAGTGCCCAAAACACAGATCAGTCTTTCACAACAGTTCGAAGAGTAAAGCGTGGCTGGATATGGGAGCCGCTTTTTGTAACTGAGGAACAGACCTCAAGGATGCCTGTGTATGTTGGACAGGTATGGTAAGTCATGATGTAAGGATAGTGCAAGGTTAGATTTAATGTGCTTGTTATCATCGTACTGCCTTGACTTGGAAGATCAACCATCCTCATTGACTTGGAAATATCAAGAAAGATACAAAAAGGGCTGAGGTAGCTGTAATCAGGCAGCACAACATCTCAACTTTACTGCAACCTGATTTAGGGTCAGAGAACTCCCTGGGCTAAAGGTCATGGCTCTGCAGTCAAGGAAACACCACTCACATCCTGTTACTAAAACTAAATCTGTGCAGAGTAGCTGAAGGTACCAAGCTGAAATTTTCCTGTCTTCTGAATGAAAGTTAAGGACTCATTTATTAACATTTGGCAACTTGCTTGTGCTATTTTTGGCACTTCATCAAAGAAGCCATAGTGAGTGCAGTTTACAAACAGTATTTAGCATGATTTTCTATTACACTAAGTAGCAGCTGATTTACCCCTCATTAATTTTTAATGAAGCAGATTAATACTAAATCCTTTTACCACTGAGAAACTACAGGAATCTGAATGGTTCATTAGATTAACGTAGCTTTAGCACAACGAGCAATTATTTTTCACCCTCCTTTAAAAATGTGCTTTAAGATAATTGTCTTAATGAGACTTTATCTATTCCTTATTTTCCCTTTCTACTTACAATTATTATTATTTATTATTATTATTATTATTATTATTTATTTTTGTAAGCTAGAAGTAATTGTAGTCTTGAGATCTAGTTTTCTCTTCTTTAAGGCACTTTCTAGGTGAATGAACCAAAATAAGTTTAACTGCTAATTAACTAGCACTAAAATTTAATTGGGCCCAAAGGGTGAGGTGCTCAAAATTCATTAATTACTTTTTTTCAACCCCTTCAAAGTAACTACTATGGAAGTGTGATGTCTTACTTCTAAAAGAACAAGTATAGACATAGTCATTAAAAAAAAAAAAAAAAATCATTATTACTTTTCCCATATCTGGAAAGCATTGTTTCCCATAAAAGAAATGTCATAAATGCCAAACATTTTCATGCTGCTGTAGATAATTTTCAAAATCTTGTGTTTCTATTTCTCACAGGTAAACTATAGATAATTTTAATTTAAGATTATTGTTCATTTAGTGCAGTCTAACCATTGTCTAAATCAGACACATTTACTTGTGGCTTTCTGTGAAGTACAGTATGCTCTGTTTTCAATAAGTAAATTGGCATTCTATGATCAACTTTATAGTAAATAAGGCCCAGGAGGAAACTCAATCAACAATGACAAAGGTAGACAGTCTCTGTTAGCCTTATCACAACTTCTTTCTGCAGTTAGATTCAGAGCTTAATCTTCAAGTTTCATCTAACATAGAATTATCTTCCATTACCACGTTTGAGAAAAAGTGTTCATCAGTACTGCAGTGTAAGATAGATAATGACAACACATAACTTCTTGTCCCAGATCTCATTTACAATGAAAAGACCACTTAGTATATTATCTATTATAAAACAAACAAACAAACAAAATACATAAATAGCATAGGTTATGTCTAAACACCCAGTCCTAGTCAGGCTTCCAGGCTTCCAGTCTCTAAGGGTTTGATACACTCTGTGATCATATCTCAACCATATCTTAAGGTAAAGATCTAGATGTTCATTATCTTTCCCATGTCCTGGTGTTCGTGACAAGGAAACTATGATTTATGGTTTCTAGAAAAGAATCTGTGGTGCCCCTTAGCCAGCTGTCGTTCTTGGATGATGTTTAAATGAATGGGACCAAACCAATCATAAAGGAGTCCTGCCCTTAGGTTCACCCTATAAAGGTGAACTTGCCCCATGTTTCAAACAAAAGTACATATGTTGAAAGCTTTTGGCTTTAAATTGTTTAAATTTTAGAGACTTTAACCACTGTAACACTGAAAATTATTTATCTTGTGTTTGAAAGGGAAATTAACTCTGCATAATTTGAATACTTTGTTAGGATTCAGTGCAAGAACTCAAAACTGTGTTCCTCATATCTCTGAGCAGTGTCCCAACCTCATTTTTAATAAACTATCCAGTTGATGCATACAAAAAAAATAAACAATTCAAAATAACCAGTCATTGTTCCAAGGAAAAGCTAAAATGATTTGTTTTTCAACTTCAGCATCTGTCACAAAATATTTTGAGTGAATATAATAGAGAAATGTGCCATAGTTAATTCTTTCTCAGTATGTGACCTCATATTCTACACTGATCTGTAAGGTCAATAAGAATGAAACAAAACAGGAAAGTTATTGAAATAATCACATAGACATATCTCTTACGTTTAAAGCATTCCACTTAGTAGAATAAGCAAGTTGGATACATATTTATGTATTTTTTAAATTGGGTTTTTAATTTTTTATCCAGGCCCTTAAATATTTTGTCTAAGCATGAAATAAATAAATGTCAGAGAAATAATATGATGGAAGTTGATGTTCACAAACAAACTCAACTGTAGATGACTGGCACATTAAAAGGTTCAGTTACTGCTATCGCAAAAGTGGTGTTGCATATCATTAGCATTAACAGAACAATTATGTTGACATGAACAAATGCAGCTGAACCACAGTGGTCTCCAGGGCTCAGCTTCATCAGAGGAATCATCATCATAAAGCTGATCTTAGCAAAATAACAGAGGATGAAGTTCTTCCAGGAAGGAATTACAAAATATGTCAATTTATTTCAGAATAAATAATACAGATTTATACCATATCTCTTTAATATTTCATGTCTTTAATATTTCAACAGAGTTGGAACACCACTCTCATATTCACACCTAGTATTGCTGAGTATAAAAACAATATATGTATATATAAAACTTTTAAAGTACACTTATAATTTATAATAATAAAAATTTAGATAATGTTTTAAGGTCCTTTGCCTTGTTTTCAGCAGAAGTTTGTGGGAGCTGATAAACCAATGATCTAAATTATGTATTTAACATTAATTCCTTTCACTTCTGTGTTTTTTTTTTTTTTTTTTTTTTTTTTTTTCACTTACAGCTGAAATCAGATTTAGACAAACAGGATGGCAACTTACAATACATTTTGACTGGGGAAGGAGCTGGAAGTATATTTATCATTGATGAATATAATGGCAAAATTTATGTGATACAAAAGGTGGATCGAGAAGAGAAACCCTTCTATATTCTAAGAGCCCAGGCACTTAACAGGAACACTCATCTTCCCGTTGAACCTGAATCAGAATTTATTATCAAGGTTCGAGATATCAATGATCACGAACCACAGTTCTTGGATGGACCTTATGTGGCTACTGTTCCAGAGATGTCACCTGAAGGTATGACATGCCATAAACCAAAGTCTTACATGTATCAGAGTCCTTTTACAGATTCTGGATTCATGCTTGTATTGAATATAGAAACCTGTCTTTTCCGTCATTGGCATAGCTATGAAATAGGTACTTGTTTAAAAACACAGCATCACACTTCAGAATAGATAGACTACTGTAACCAGTTGGTACTGCAAAGGAGATTTTAGGCAGACAGAATTCACTGCTTTTTCAATCAGTATAGCACCCTAGTCTCTAGAAAATTGTTCAATGTATTATTATTATTATTATTATAACCTGTCAGCTCTTCAGACTATTGTGAAACAAAAGTAGCATTCACTTAAATTTTAAAGGCCTCTAACCTAAGTTGACTCTTTAAGCACACAAATAAGCTTGGCTGAACAGCACTCAATAGCCTCCTTCAGTCTCCTCTGATTCTGCTTAATAATTAAACAATAGGCTTTTATTATACCCTATCTAGTATAAATCATACTGTAGTGTAACTGGAGAAGAGTCAAAATCACATGACAAGCACTCATGATTTACCCACAAATACAGGGATATTTTCCTTTCTGTAAGTAATGGGTTCAGAACAGGAATGAAGTGGGCTGATATGATGACCATCCTCATATCTTGTATGATGCCTACCTATTTACACAGACAAGTCTCTTTCCACATTGGAAAGCTTCCCTTTGTTTGGATTAGATGGTGGGCAATAAAGCAGTCTTTCAATTTCATAAGCACAAAAATTGCACAAGGATTTTCCTATCAAAAGTGATGACTTAACCTCTGCACCACTTCTTCCACATATCTATACATAAAAAGAAGATCCGGACCATGTACCTGGAAACTTAGTACAACAAATATGAAGCAAATTTTGCTTTGTGACTACAATAATATAGACATAATAATATAGTATAAGATAAGATAAGTTAGATTTATAGAATATTATTTTATTATATATATGTATATATACATAATATAACATAGATATAATAATACAATAAGTGACCACAATAATATAGAACAGTTTATTGTTTAGAATTATCTGGATATTTTTATCTTGGATTACACAGACCTGGGTGTCCTGGTTTCAGTTAGCACAGAATTAATTTTCTTCCTAGTAGCTGGTGGAATGCTGTGTTTTGGCTTAGGATGAGAAGAGTGCTGATAACACCCCGATGCTTTAATTGTTGCAGAGCAGTGCTTATACTAAGCCAAGGACATCTCAGCCTTTTGCTCTGTCCTGCCAACGGGCAGGCTGGGGGTGCAGTAAGAGCTGGGAGGGGACAGACCCCGGACAGGTGACCCAAACTAGCCAAAGGGGTATTCCATACCATCTGACGTCATGCTAAACAATATATAGGGGTGGCTAGCCGGGGGAAGGGGGCCGGACTGCTCGGGGTTAGGCTGGGCATCGGTCAGCGAGTGGTGAGCAATTGCATTGTGCATCACTTGTTTGTACATATTATTATTATTTCCCTATTATCACCATATTATTATTATTGTTATTATTGTTATTATTATTTTGTTATTATTATTTTCCTGTCTTATTAAACTGTCTTTATCTCAACTCACGGGCTTCACTTTCCATTTCTCTCCCCCGTCCCAGAGAGGGAGGGGGGAGGGTGAGCGAACGGCTGCGTGGTGTTTAGCTGCCGGCCGGGTTAAACCACGACACTGGGTCTTTGATACAGATTTTTTTTTTTTTTTCCATGTGATTCACTATTATTGATAAGACACTAGATCTCTTATAAAAAAATCAATTTTAAATAGCTGATAATATAATATGGCTCAATATACACTCACCCAAACCTATAACCTTTCATAGCACTATATCAAGAATTCAATTCTGAAACCCTTCTATTCTATCGTCCTGTCTTTATGACAAGTTCCTGTCTTACTGATGAAAGGATGATTAAGAAAAAAAAAAAAAAAAGGAAAAGATAATTAAAAAGAAGTCAGTTAGGGTAGTACTTATGGATCAAAGCAACAGTAGCATTCTCTTTCCATTTACCTGTTTCTCACCTCAGTTCATCAATAAGCAGTTGACAGATGAGAAGCTTCAATCTGTGTTCACTTGAGTTGCCTATAACTGACAATCTAAAAATAGAAGGTGCAGCAGTCTTTATCAAATCTGTCATCTACGGTATCTTTAAATTCCTAAAGTACTACATCACTTCAACATAAGATTAATTAATTAATTAATTAATTCATTATTTTTTTTTTAAATAAAATATCCCACTAAAATATGAAAAATAAATCAGAAGTAACACCATTTTCTCAATTTGTCAGAATGTGTAAAAAATAAAACAACATATCTGTATGCCTCCCCTCTTAGACACAGACTTCTTGAGATAGTGAACTCATAGACTTGCAATTAACCATTATATAACATGAATTTAGGATGGTCCTATTGATCTTCAAATATTTTCTACACTCCTATGTTTGGCCTTTCTAGCACTAATGCTATTGTTATTTTAGAGATTACTTTTCATCTGCTTCTTCTGTGTAGATGCTAGTACACAACAGGCTACATTGGGTTTATGAGGCAAGGTTTTAGTAGCATGGAGGCTACAGAAGTGGCCTCTGTGGGAAGGTTCCAGAAACTGCCCTGGGTTAAATAAGAACCAGCTACATCCAGCTCCAAGAGAGACCTGTTGCTGGCAAAGCTGAGCCAGTAAGCAATTCTAGTTGCGCCTCTGTGAGATCAGATTTAAGAAAGGAAAAATCTGCTGTGCAACTGCATATGGGAGAGAGTGAAAAAATGTAGAGGAACAACCCTACAGACCAAAAGGTCAGTGCAGGAGGTGCTCCAGGCCCCAGAGCTGAAGTTCCGCTGTGGCCTGTGGAGAGGCCCCTGGTGGAACAGGCTGTTTCCCTTCAGCCCAGGGAGCAGATCTCCACGCTGCAGCCTGTAGAGGAGCACTCAGTGGAGCAGGTGGATATGGTGTGGAGGAGCCTGTGGCCCATGGAGCGCTCCCACTGAGGGCAGAGCAGGCGAAAGGACTGAATCCTGTGGGACAGATCCCACACTGGAGCAGAGGAAGCGAGTGAAGAAGCAGAGAAAAGGCATCATGGACTGACCACAACCCCCATTCCCCATTCCCCTGTGCATTTTGGAGAGAGGACATAGAAGAGAGTGGATATCATGGAAGGTGTTTTTAGTTTGCTTTTAGTTCTCACTGCTTTAGACTGCTATATGTGCTCTGTATTTAGGTAATAAATTTCATTAATTTCCCTTATGCCAAGTTTGTTTTGTCTGTGGTGGTAGGTCAGTGATCTCCCTGTCCTTATTATCAGCCTTTTCTTTCATCACATTTTCTCCCCCTGTTCTATTGGGGATGGGGCATAAGAGAGCATCTGTATGGTGCTCAGCTACCTACCCACATTAAACTAAGATACTGGCATACTAAAGTGTATTTCAGACATACAGAGTATAAATGGAATGGTATATACTGGTATACACCCTAATAGCTCCAATACATGAAACAGCTGAGCCACGCCATGCAGTCCTCTCTGGGCTCACTTACCTTGCCTCTCCAAGTATTGCACTTCTGAGGTGAAAGCTCATTTGATGTATATCTTAAAGCATTAATCCTTAGAAGGGAATTTCTAACTTCCCAAATGGACAGAAACAGTAACCAATCAAAATCACAGTGCTTTTCTCCTAGTAAAACAGAATCTCCTTCTGCATAGTAAGAACATAGACTGGAATTACTTTAAATGGCACAGTGCAATAGAGAGTCTTGGTCTTTGCTCCATTTCAGAGCTCTCTAATGGCGTTTCAACTCAATTATATTGGACCTGAGATCTTTTTATGAAAAAACTTGCTTAGGAAGCATGGTCCATACTCAGAAAAGTAGTTCACAATTGCTGAGCTTTTTGTCTGGAAATAAGAAAGCAAAGAGAATAATTCACAGCTGGTCATGTATTACTTGCTTCAGAAAACCACAGAAAAACAGAAAACAGACATAGATAATTTGTACCTAAAGTTAGGTACAAATATCTAAATGTATACTAATGTGACAACAAATTAGAATATATTTTACTTCTTTCTTAGCTCTCTTTTATCTTCAGTACTAAATTTTATTAGGATTTTAAATGCAAGTGTCACAGTGAATGAAAAGTGTGTCAGCAAATGAACTCTTCTAAGAGTACAGGACTGCAGTTTTCCCTTGGGCATTCCGTGCAGTTTTAAGTTAAGTGCCTCCCATATAGCTGTTAAAAGTGTACAAATGCGGTATATGTGATGGAATGGTTAGGTCAGATGCAATAATATGTCAGTAATTACTGTTTTAGTAGATTTCAAGCTCTAGTTAGAAAAATGAGTAACTATTTTTTATACAAGGGCCTTCTAGTTTACCTAACGGGTTGCAATATATAAGTGGCACAATAAATATTTTGTCCAAAAAAAGTAAAACCAACGGCAAAGGAATATAAACTAAATCTTATATAACAATCAGAAAAAAAAAAAAAAAAAAAAAAAAGTGATTTGTTTTAAATAGAACCTAATGAAAAGCACAGAATGTGTAAACATGTTTACTATGCCGCTTAAGACATTTATGTAGACACAACACATATTTGGAGCTAAACTTTATATCGATGTCACACAGACTCACATATTCAGAAAATGCATGTTCAAAAGCTCACAGATAGATTCGGTTGATTTGTCTCTGGCATTATAGCAGTTTTCACATAAATTATGTTTAACTATATTGGAGTTTTATTATATCAATTATATAATTGCTGTCATTATATAATGGCTGGAATGTCAAGAGGTGGTCTTGTTTGTTTGTTCAGAAAAATAAATAAATAAATGAATAAGTAAATTTTATCTGGTCAATTTTTCTCTTCCAACCATGGAATTAAAAAAATGGCTGAACTTTCTTTTCAAAATTTATTGGGAACATTAATATTACTGCTCTAATTTCTATCATTCAAACACAAATGTCTAGGTAAAAGCATAGTTCCATTTGGCAAATGGTTTGCTTTTTTTGATATGGATTAAATGTACAAAGAAATAGAGGTTTCATAGCAGTGAAAGACTAAAAAATTAAAAAAAAAAAAGTTTTCCAAATCTGGGCAACATTTTTCTTCTGCTCTCTTCATAGTCCATATTTAATTTAGAAGCTCATGTACTGATCATGAAATATTTGTCCCTTGCCTGCTTCATGTTTCCATTATGCTGCTTCTCCCTGAGCCCACCTGGGCAAATTCCATCCTTCTCCCTTCTGTGATACTATGGAAGAGTTAACAAGCAAGCAAAAAAAAAAATAAATAAAGTATTCTGGGGCTTAGAGAAGCAGCAAATGCTATTTTAGTTTCAACATTTCTTTCTAATGGACAGAAACTGTAGAAAATGAATCTGTCTTTAAATGTTTGAGACTCAAGGAGCTGTAACAATAACCTTGCAGACCTTCATTCTGTTGTTGTTCTATCTTGTTAAATATGGTGCTGCAAACAAGTCCATTTCTGAATATGGTTATTGGTACCTTGCTTGGGTTTCTTTAGTAGAAAATTGAATTTATAACAGGCTTGATATTGTATTATCCACAGTGATCAGTTCCTTTTTAGCATTCACTCAATTTAGTTTTAAACA